CACACACACAAGGGAAGTGAAAGACTCCGGGGCTAAGACGAAGCGGTCGCTGCCAAGGTCGAGACGCGGAACCGAACTGCCTCGATGCTCGTCGACGGCTTTCGTACAAAACACGCCGTGCAGTGGAAGGGAAGCAGAGAGGTCAAGAATGTATGCATCAGGTCATGCCGGAATCCATTCCTCTGTAAGACACGGCATTATACAGTGTTTTTGTTTTTTTTGTTTTTTTTGTTTTTTTTGTTTTTTTTGTTTTTTTTTGTTTTTTTTGTTTTTTCCTGAAGAGAGAAGTTAGATTCAGACCTGGGGCCTCGCCACGCTACTCAGGAAACACCAAAAAAGCGAGTGCATCTGTCGATAGAAGCTAGCAAGGTACACGTGTGACTTTACTATAAATAGTAATGAATGTATTTGGCCACTCGCGGTGAGGAGATGCTCTGGCTTTTTACCCCCCTTTTTATTTTTTTTATTTTTTTTTTAAAAAGCTATATTCTTCTCTCCTCTATCTCATTTTTCTTGCTAGTACTCGTCTATCTCATCCTCTCACCTAGTCTATTTATAGTACGGGGGAACACCAACCAACCCGGATCTCTCCCCAGCCCACGGGGTAGGTTGGCACCACAGCAGTGGTGCGAGAGCAAGGCTGTACCAGTCCCTCATCACGGTGACGAGGGGTGGGCAGGCATTGCCGATGGGGGAAATCGGCGGTGCTAGCGCCCAGCAATGGCCAGTCACTGCACCTCCCCGTACCCCCCCCCAAACCCCACATGGTGGTGTCTAATGGCCAATATTGTAGCCGCATAGCAACCAACAACATCAACCAAGGTCCTGCCAATGCTGGCTTGGGTGGCCAACGGGTTATCTCTAGCTGGTAGAACACCAATATGGGAAGACTTTTTATCTCTTGGACCATTCTCGATTTGTGCGTGTCATCGGGCCTCGCTCCACTAGTCTCGAAATCCTCAAAAGACAAAAATTATGGTGGTGTACATTTCCATGTTCTAGCGGAAGATTCACTCTCCTTTTGCACATTCGAGAGTAGTGGAGCGAGGCCCATCCTTGCGGACGGGCCATGCTAGTCTTCTCTACGGACCATTTCTCGATTTATGACTGTCATTCTTGCGGAGGGGCCAGCATTGGCCGGGCGGGGGGAAGCCCATCACCCATATTACGACCATGCGAATCATGGAGCGATGTAGACATAAATAAGAAATGAGATAGGAAACTCACTGGCTTCGACGAATGGTTTCATGAGAATGACGGACGCATCATCGTTTTGTTTTGCAGACAAAGGGACCAAAGCCAAACCCGAACAGCTAACATTCGGGTCAGCATTGAACACCATGTACGGTTTCAACATACACAAACCATACAACAAAAGAATAAATAAACCATATCTTTGACCATGGCAATGAGACGTGTGTGTGTGTGTGTGTGTGTGTGTGTGTGTGTGTG